AAGCCACTCAAGATGTTGCAAGAGCAAGAATGACAAATTTTCTTTACATTTTGTTTTTATTTATGACAGTCGTAGCCACTGGATATACGACGATATAGAATCATAGATTCTTCCTTAAACAACTATGATCACGAAGCAAAAAAAATCGAACTTATTCTAAGTGTGAAAATATTCGCACTTATATTTACACTAGAATGTAAAACAAAACGATGATTCAAGAATTTCCAAGATTTTGGTACAAGAAGTCAAGAAATTACAAGATGTTCAAGATCTTGACTTTTTGAAATTTCTTGAATTCTTATATTTTCTTACCAAGATCTTCTGGAAACTCTTTATCAGAAACTAATCTAGATACATACAAGACCAATATGGACAAAACTTTTAGGAAACCATGGTCCTTCAAAATATAGTTACGATAAAGTTTTCATAACTTTATCAATCGGCGTTTAGGAGATGTCGCTAACAATAAGAGTCAAAATAGAGCTATTGTCGTATAAAGATAATTTGTATATATTTCTAAAGGTTTTCGACCAAACTGAATCCGATGCAAAACTGCACATGTATGTGCCTCATATATAGATTTGCTTGTTTTATTTCACAGAAATATCATCTTTGCGTGTTTTTCCGTCCAAAAGTTGTTCAAAAAACTTAGAAAATATGCTGTTGAAATTAACACAAAAAACAGTGCAATCGAAATCAGCAACTTTTATTTAGTACTTTATTAGATTTTGACAACTGTTTGTTAGTAATAGGGCGAACGGACTACGCATCTTGGTTGATCAGTTAGTGTCTGTGAGGGACGCCAAATTGAACTTCCACTTGAAAAACAGGCGTTTATTTTATGGAGGATTCATTGTTGCATCATGGTCAACTATTGCGATAATCGTAATGATCTAATTCTGTTATTTTATTTTATTTTCGCTTTATGTCGATTTGATATCGTTGAGATACGTTGATCCTTTCCCTAGTAAAAATCTTAGACACTTCCTAAAATTATCTTACTAAGGTCTTATCTTTTAAGATTCTGATAACATAATCTAAGATCTTATCGTTTAAGACCTTAATAAGATTCAATGACTCTACTTTTATTCATCCCTTTGTTTTGTTCTTATCCATCTATATAAGTAACACCGAAAATATGACTGATTTTACGGTTATTTTTCTTCCAGATCCTGCTAGTACTTGCTCTCTCAAAAGTGTTCAACAACTTTTTAGAGTGTACATGTCGGTCAAGGTTCATAGTTGGACATCCGAAAATATGAAATTTCTCTTCATTTTTCAACGCTGTTCAACTGCTGCTTTGGATAATGCAGATTAAAATTCAAAAACTTTAGCGAATCTCGAATGAATACCATTTAAAAATATTATCATTCTTATCATTAAAATTCTAATAGATTCTTATTCAATCTTGAAAAAGCCTTAGACGGTATACGGCATAACCTTAGAAGATCTTATAAAAATTTTATTAAATCTTAGAATTTTCGGGTCTCACGATCTTAGTAAGATTTGAAAACAATGGTATGTTGCACTTACGCCACCTCTTTGATATGTGCGGTGCTGAGTATCTCAGAGAGTAGAGTATTGACCGAGCAAACTGATGACACTTTAATTGCCAGTTAAGGCAGTTTCTCTATCAAATTTCATATAGCTGCAAAAGTATGTCCATTGTCATATGAAGTCTTGATACTTCTTTCGTGATTAGAATGATATACGAAGAATACTCTTGTACAGAGGCGATGGAATGATTTTGAAACTATGGGTGCTCTGTGGGTGCCAAAGCACACACTGCCGCATGGTTCCGCCACCTTTGCTCTCGTACTGTTCAGTGTTAAACGAACAGCTATCAAGTGCTGTATATAAGAGTTTGCTAAAATCTACACAGAATATGGCACGTTTGATTGTATGTTCGATGATGAGCTATTTCTCAAACACTTAGATAGAAGAAAGACAAAAAGTATAGAACATATGCATTATGTAATCGCTTTATTCAGATAATGTGATATACGTGTGGTTTCAGCATTTCGAACAATCGTACTTATTATTTAGTGAGGTTAGAATAACACTTACAATAGTAAAAAGAACTATCGGTTCGTCAACTATCATCATTATTATGTGTTGTTTATGTGGTTATTTATTAGAAAAATATGTTTAGGTTTTATCATATAAAACAGTAATTTTTATGATAGATGGAGGTTTTTGTAGAAGCAAAATCTCTTTCTGAATATAGCCTGCAACACAGAGTAGTCGCTAATCAAAAACTGCTGCGAATAGTTGAGATATTTTAGTATTTCACTTCTACTCTAATTGAGCAATATCCTCTTTTCATCTGCAACAGTGAAGAATTTAATAATAGTGAAATTTTGTGTTCACTAATAATTGCTTGTTTGTCGTTGATATATAGAAGAACGAGGTATCAAAAGAAAAAAAGAAATTATATGTGTTATAAGGATGTGACGATTGCACAACGATACGAGGAAGAAGAGGAAAAAATGGGAGAGAACTTTCAATCGACTCTCCTCTGGCAAACAAACATGCAATAATATTAGTCCCCGTAGATTATTCCATGCGCACACACATTTCAAAGAAAAATAAATGGTTTACTTCAAATTCTCTCTATACAATGTACTGCATAGATCATTCATTCTCTCTTTCCGTTTCTTCTTTATTCAGGAAGACACACACACGCAGAATCACATTTCATTCTCTGAACAGAACTTTTTTTCCCTTGTTCTATGGATTTTATGAACAAAAAAAAAAAAGAAGTTCTTCTTCCTCCCCTTTTATCCCATTTCTTTAATTTAATAACATAAAGGTGTTATTAATGTTATCCTAAGCTAGACGTCTGTATGGCAACATTATTAACAATCCAAGTTTTTTCTGTATCATCATCAGCGTTAACTAATTTAATAGCCATCGTCGCATTTTCAACTGACTATTGGTCAGTTATCAAATATGATGTTCCAAAACTTCGAAACATTTCTGACCAACAATCTAATGTCATCATATCGGAATCAAGTGAATACTTTAGCGTTTATGAATCATTATTGAGTAACACAACAGCATCATATAATTCAACGTTACTAACAAATACTAGTTACGGATATAATACACTTTATATGTCACACAAAGGCATATTTCGGACGTGTAATTATTTATCAGAAAAATCTCGTACTGAATTCAATATTCCAAAATGTCGGCTACTGAAACCATTTAATAATCGTTATGATGATGTTAAACACGGAATGAATAATCCGGGAAGAGAACTGATACGTAAGGAAGAAATATTACCCGTGCTCGCTCATTTTGTTTTGTCTCCTCGATAGGTCTACATAATGTAGCTGCTGCATGTGCGATTCTTATTGTTTTACTTCTCTTTGTTGCCACTTTCGTCGGTGTTACCGTGGGAATATTAGCCAGTGTTGTATTGGCTACAATGACAATCGGCGTTATCTATTTAGTTGCTAGTAAGTCGTCTATTCCATGCGCACATACACACACCGAGATCTACAAATGAAGAGAACTTACTAAGATTGTAGTTAAAGTAGGAATTAGTACGCGATTCAACGCGTATTCTCATACTGATGAGGGGACCTCGCCAATTGTCACATTGCTTTTCCAGCCAAACCTAGTGGGTTATAGGTTATCAACTATGTTGAATCCGAATATCATAGTGGCAGCTGCTCAGGGGCTTTCAGAGAGCGATTTTCTGGAAAACCAGTTTTTCAGAAACTCTAAAAAGTAATCAGAACCTTTCTTAATGAGGCATGATTGTAACCCGCAAATTTTTGATTAAAATGAGACATCTCCAAGTTCTACACGACCTTTCTTTGCAAAGCTATAGAATTTACAAGAGAAGCCCTAAATATTCATTGTCAGCTTAAAGCTACAGAAATAAGTAGAAATAAATTTAGGGCTTTTCTTGTAAATTCTATAGCTTGGCAAAGAAAGATCGTATAGAGCTGCCAGATGTCTCAATTCAATCAGAAATTTGCAGGCTACAATCATGCCTCATTAAGAAAGGCTCTGGTTATTTTTTAGAGTGTTTGAAAAACTGATTTTCCAGAAAACCGCTCTTTGAACGCCCCTGAGCAGCTACCATTATGATATTCGGATTCAGCATAGTTGATAACCTATAATCCACTAGGTTTGGCTGAAAAAGCGATGTGACAGTTCGCGAGGTCTCCTCGTGAGTGATGAGTGCGTGTATTCAAGGGTTCCTTAAGATATGAACAACGCTGAAGCGAGAAATCAGCATTTATGTTTGTCTAGCTTTAAGCTTACGTCTTCTCTCCATATTAAATCCGCTCATCTAAAAATTTTTAACAGGTCTGACTTTTAGTAAAAAAATTTCAGAAAAAAAAGATTAACGTAAGCAAAAAGTTAGCGCAAGATAGTTTCAGATACTAATATATCTCTTTATGATTGAAAGCTCTAATATGACTTGAAAATTTGTCTTCATATTTTAGCTTTATTCAGTGTATTCTTATTAGCGATTATGTATACGACGTTAAAAAGTGAACGAAAAACATTGAACTGTTTTGCATTAGAGATTCTTACAAAAGAATTATGTTCGGCACGAACAATTTTACCATCATTTTCATTCTATTTTGCTTGTGCTCTGGTTTTATTTTGTTTTATAACCAGTTGTTTATGGTTGTCATTACAACAAAAACAGAGAAAATTTGCCGAAAACTGATAATAAATGACGATTATGCTAAACAGTTGATAAACACTACACACCGTTGTTATCATAAGTCATTTGTATTTTCATACTTTGTGTATTGTGCGTAAACATTAAAATTTCTCATATCCGATACTAATAGAGGTCTACCCTCGTGTGAATTTTCATTGAATCAAATCTAATACATCTCTGTCATGCTTCGAAAAGTGATCAAACCATAAAATTAATTTTTTACAGTGAACAGGATATCAAATTACCTACTGTTGACACATAATACTGGTTGATTTGTAAAAAACTCATTGTCAAAACTGAGGTCGAATTTTAGAATAATACAATATGATCCCGGGTCAACGAAAACTTACATTTAATAGCTCATGCAAAGCCTGCTGACTGCATGACTCAAAAATATACTCTTAACTGGCTAAAAACTGTTAAAAAACCGCTTGTTAACAGTCCCCATCTCTTGTCCCTTATTTCACCGTGTATCATGGTCTGAAAACATGCATTGAACTGTATGTATCAAAAACTAAATTTCCATCAGCCGTTAACTACCTGTTAGCATGCCATTTTGGAACAATTAACAAATCAGGAAGACAACTAGTATTTAACGTTGGCAATTAAATGTCAGGGTTCAATCATTTGTCAACAAATCATGGGTTTAAGCTTTAATCTTAAACCAGAACGAAATCAAAAATATAAATTCCCATTATATTATTCTGAAACTTAAAATATCAAAACACAAAATCAATCTTTGCACGAAGCTAGGATCGAACACACGAACGTGATGTTTTTCTCATCAAATAATCACGGCTGTCGCGACCAGCCAGACTTTGGGGGGGGAGGTGCTTCACTGAGACAAGAATTTCTTTTCAAAGAACGCAAGAAAAAATTTTTTTCTGCTGGAAAAAATTAAGAATTTTTATTTTTTGAGGGGGTGTCGCACCTCTCCCCTACACACTTTTTAATTAATTTCAAATTGAGATCAAAGAATCTTCACAGGTGGTGGGTGGGTGGTTGGATGAAAGTGTGCGGAGTTTGGGCATGAACCGTATACATCTATCTGCAAAAACAAAAGAAAACCATATTTACTAATTAAATAAAAGTACGACATCCGTTGAACCACGGAGCAAATGCGTCACCTCAAACTCATTTTTCATTTACTTCCTCTCTTCAGTCTCATTTCTAACCTAGCAGTGAGAAAATTTAATCAGCTTTGGTGTAGAATTTAATCTCCTATAGAAAATTAGATCGAAAAAAACTTACTCTCTCAAATGCTATACATGAACGACTGTTTCAGGTTACAGTGTAGCTCTATACGTTCCCGTAATTTGATATTTCTATAGGCAGTTTTACTCAGAATCTTTTTTGGAAGAACGAAAAGCTTTTTTTTGGCAGGATCACCCTCCTGCTCTGAGATTCTAGGTAAGCCCCTGGTGTTTTTTCCAAGATCTTGGGTACTTGAAGTTCAACTAGGATGATGCGATAAAATCAATTTAGATTTTGAAAATGACATTCGCCATTGTTCATGTCGCCATTTCATATGCTAGTACGCGTAGAGTTAAGCTCGAAAAGTCAGAAATGACCGAGCGAAGAAAGAATGTTCTCTTCTGAGACAATAGACAACATTGACAAAGTTGTTTTTATTCCCGTTTTCCCGTTTTTATTATGTGAGGCTGTGTTCGCCTAGAATAAGCATGTTCCTGTGCTTCGATCATAAATTGTTTTAACAAGCTCAACTAATCATTTCTATCTAGTAGATCATTATATACGGTGTTAATAAGACGAACGGAGAAATCAAGCAACCTATAACATTCCTTCGGAAAAAATGCTTTACTTCAAATTAATTTATGGACTTGAATCATTTTCCACTATAGCTCCGCCATTAACAAACCAAACGAAACACAGAAAAATTGATTTTTTTGTACAATCATATTCGTCTTTTTTCTCACTTGGCGAAAACGGACATCCATAAAAGAGAAGCGAGACAATTACAATTACGGGACAATAACATACATTGTTCATTATTTTTTTAGCTGTTTGATGTTGACGAACATTTCTCTTTTTTTTATTATGTTCTCTATGCTATATGTTGTATGAGCTTCTGAAAGGAAGAGCACTTTTTGTACATAGAGAAAAAATATTTACGTTCGTTCGACTTTTTTCAACCATTCTTAGATTTTTTTTCTTCTTTTGTCGACCATGTTCTGTGTATATACCACACACACACACACACACACCTACCATCATATCATGATCACTACGACTTTACACTGTACGTATAAGTCTTATTTGTACACATCACTCACAGGTATGTTGTTGTTTTTCACGATGTTTTTCATTAATGAAAATTAACTTGCTACTTCTGCAAGTGCACTATGACTTATTTATCTGAATTGAAATACTTCAATTCAAAAAAAAAGAAACAAGAATACTTGATTAATTTCTCTAGTAAATGTACTTGAATCCAGTACTTACGCAAGAACTCGGGTTAAGCAACGAGCACAGCACCTATGAGCGTTTCCAAGTAAATTCACTCATCAAGCACTTGTCCAAGCACTTGAGTGACCTATTGCAAGTAAATTTTCTTGAAGAACTTCAAGTACTTGTTCCTTTTATCGTTATTATGTATTTATACGTATTCTGCAGCCATACTCTACTTTTGTAGAGTATACGCATTGTTCAACTCAGTAGAAATATCTAAATTTATTTTCTAAGTTCATACTGATTGATATTGTAACGTTTATTTACAACTGGTCAATGTAGAACAAAAGAGTGATTGACTCGTCCAAGTACCTGGTTGAAGTGAATGGGGTGACGATACTTGGCGAGTACTTAGACAAGAACTTGATAAGTAACAATACTTGCCAAGGTCTTGTTCAAGTGCTCAGTCAGTGAGGAAACTTTACTTCTCAAGTATTCGGCAAGTAACCAAGCATCAGGATTTGTCTGCTTTTGTTTAAAATGTCCACTATAGTATCTGATTAAAATGGAGCTTTTGAAACGAAAATAATGTTGTTATTTGAGAGCATGCTCACCTCAGTATTAGTGAGAAGCGCTCGTTCACGGACAGAAAGTTTTCGTTTCATGTTACTTTCCTCACAAAACATTTCAATTCCATTATTATTGACGAAATGACTTTTTCTATCCTTAATCTTTGAAAAAAAAGAAAGAGAAATCAGAGTTTTAAATTAAACTAACATATCATTTTACATTATCCGCAATAAATAAATAATACATACTCTTTTCTTCTTCATTGTGGCTTGAAAAACAAAATAATACCAATTTGTTTTCTGTTGTTGTTTTCGAAACTTCTGTGGCCGTGAACAAAGAATGTGATGAAAAAAGTACAGTTTTAATACAGAAAACAGCATCCTCAGTTTTATTGGAAACTAGTCTAAATATTTTTGCACCCATTTTCTTTTCATATTTTTTCAAGCCATTCTCTTAGTTCTGGTAGTGCTGAAAAATCATTACAGTTTCATGGAACACTTCTATCAACAATAAAGCTCCAGTATGAGTCTGTGGCACTTGATACTGCACGAGAACAGATTTGAAGTACATCCTCGACAAAATGAGTATTGTACTATGATAAACGAGAAAATAGCACACATTTTTGTTTGATTCATTCATTAACAGAGTCTT